CCCTACCCAGCATGGCTGGCTAGGGAATTCTGGGAGTTGAAGTCCACTCATCTTAAAGTGGCCAAGGTTGAGAAACACTGGTTTAAACTGTTTAAAAAACATAATACTACAGAGTTTGTACTTTTAGGATAATTTAAATTATAATTAAAGATCCAACATGAGTCAAGGGAATTTTGAATGGAGTAGACCTTTCACATCTTACTGCAGTAATGATACTTGCTCTTTCTGAAATTTAAAATTGTTCTTTTTCTTAAAATAAGCTCTTTAAATGGAATTTGTCATTACCGTGAAATAAATCATAAAGACAATTTTAAATAAACTAAGGTATGGCACTGACCCCATCCTGGAAGCAGAAACATTGGCTTATAGGTTAAAAGGGGAGTAAAAAGTACCACTTTTCTGTGAGTAATAACCTGCAATAAACTGCTCAAAACAAAAAGACTGATGTAAGGAGTAAAACAAGAAAATTAACTTTTAACGTAATTGCCCTTCTAAATAAAGAGGGATGGAAGAATCCAGCAACCTTGTTCATTAAAAAGAACTGAAGGGGAATTAGCACTAAAAAACAAGAATGGAGAATTTTCCCCCCCAAACAACAGCTTTTAAAAAAAGAATAATTATTTAAACAGAGCAACTGTTCTAATTAAAATAGTGGCCAAATAATAACCTGTAAGCAGTTTTGTCTGATTATCACGCAAATAAAGGAGAAAGAAGGAAAAATGGTTCTTCGGAATTCATACATTAGAAAATGGAAAAAAGACTGAAAGATGGAAATAGCAGATAGTCATCAACTTTCCACTCAACCGCAATGACAATTGCTCTCTCTCAGTACTTACTGCTAGGGTTGCTGACATGTAGGAGGAAAGCTGTGTTAATCTATGGCACTCCTAAATCAGAAGGAGTCTGCTTGCAAAATCTTCTCAAATTTTTATTAATTTTGAGATATAATTAGTTCAACTAAATTGTGTTAATCTGAAAAGGAGCTACCAGGCTATTTCTG